TTACCCCATTTGGCTGCACTGAAGAGAGTATTCAAGATTGTTTTAGAGATAGGGGTGGTAGAAGGGCGAGGGCGTGACGAAGATGGAGTAGTGTTGATGGAGGTAGTGTTATGGAGATGTGGGCTATAAGGCTGTAAGGTATTAATAAGGGAGGATGGGGTGGTTGATGTTGGAGGTTGTGGGGGTAGAGGTGTTGAAGTTGGGCATGCTGGGAGAGTGGAAATGTTCCTTGAGGGTTGATTGTTGGCTACTGTACTAGTAGGCATTGGTGAAGGGGTAGTTATTGCAGTGTTTGGAGCCGTGGTCAAAGGAGAGCCTGGGGTCGGGGAATCGGGTGGGTTTACTTCGTTGGGGCTATTTGATAAAGGGGCAAGCCTCATTGCCCCTAACAGTGGGGATATATTTTCATTACTGGCCATGGGAAGCCTGGATTATGTTGGGGATAAAAGCAGTCCACCCCTCAGGGTCCCCTTGAGGGGTAAGGGCTAGATAACTAAATCAGGGGATACCGTGCCCATGGCTCCCTCAGGCCGTTCAGGACTGGCACAAAGTCAGCCTTTCATCCTTTCAGCACGGCTCTCACACCTTAGGAGGTGGATAGCAGAAGGGTTTGGTGAAGGGACAGAAACAAAAGTGGGAAGGGAAAAAAAAGACCATGCATAATTAGTTTAGTCGAGGGCTGAGTCCCAAGGTTGGGGAGTTCCCCATCATTGGGTCCCAGTCTCCGCCTCCTAAGCCCCCCCACGACAACAACGGGCAAGGGATTGGGGGGGGAGAGAGAGAGAGAGAGAGAGAGAGGAGAGAGAGAGAGAGAGAGAGAGAGAGAGAGAAGGGGGGGGGGGGGAGAGAGAGAGAGAGAGAGAGAGAGAGAGAGAGAGAGAGAGAGAGAGAGAGAGAGAGAGAGAGAGAGAGGGGGGGGGAGGGAGAGAGAGAGAGAGGGGGGGGAGGGAGAGAGAGAGAGAGAGAGAGAGAGAGAGAGAGAGAGAGAGAGAGGGATGGTTAGATATTCATTCATTCATAAATACACATGGATGAACTCCAGAGGTGACTGAGATTTTAGTTGTTGCTTTAACGAAATTAGCTCAGGATGTGTGTGAAGACCTAATGCTGAGATGATAATGTAAATATGTCATTTTTTTGCGAAATGCTTATCCCATGAAATAAATTTGATTGTGTCAGCAAGGCAAAATTTACCTCTTTTTTTTATTGATAATGGTTTTACCAATGTGAAAAAAACATGAATCAGATACTGCTGATGTTAAGTCTGAGACAAAAGTGTATGGATATATATATATATATATATATATATATATATATATATATATACATACACAGATAGTCCCCTACTTAAGAACATTCTACTTATGAACATTCCATACAGACAAACAAAATTTTTTAAGTACTAAAGTCCAAAAAATTGTTAGAAAGATGCTAGCAAACTTCAAATTTCCTGGGCGCGAATATAGTACAAGAGTCTGGTACTGTATAAGGTATGTTGTACTTATTGGGATTTATTTATAGGTATTCTTAATGTAAACAAACTAAAACAATGGGAAAAAAGGTAATGGAGACCCTACTTTCGACATACCTTGATGCGTAAGTATTATCAATATTTTTTTTCCTTATTTTCTTTTTTTGGCACTGCCTGGTAATCATATATCAGTTCCTTTAGATTTTAAGATATAAGACTTTTCTGTGTTAGAACAAATTCAGACACTGATTTGATAACGTATTACCTAATGCCAATATTTACTTAGAATAAAAGAAAACATTCAAGAGAATTTTACAGTAAAGGTAAGATATATATTTACTTTGCAAAGATCTCAATTCATGTAATGCCAAAGTAATATTCTTTTGTGTAAGTATGTACTACTCTTCAGTCATTTTGCTGGCATTTCAATTGATTTCTGACACTGGTATATATTCTGAAGAAACCCGACTTTTCCTAATTCAACCAAAGTAACCCAATTTGGTTATAGTCCATCATACAACCTAATAGATATTATGCAATTTATGGTATAAAAGAGTTGTCAGAATAAATTTAAGACTCATCTACTATGTAAGTGATCCACTGGTTCTCTGATCAATTTTTAGAAATCTATCGTCCTTATACTTACATGTTTGGTTTTATGAATAACTGCAGAACCTAGGATATTTTTGTCAACTATTCATCATTGTGTTTGGTGTGGTATTGTCATTTGCCTTTCACATTTTCAAATAATCTTATTTTCAACCATTAATAAATGGTTTATGGATTATCATTACTTTATAATCCAACATCTATTAATTTTTTGTCAATTTCTGCATTACTGTTCACTATTTTGAACAGCACACAAATTC